CTGGGATTCTGGGAGAAGCGTTTGTTGTGCAGAGCTGGAGTTCTGCACAGTTTATTCCATCTTTGCAGCCGCAGGAATCCGAGGGCTAATTAGAGTAACCAACAACGGTGGAACATGTGATCCCAGGGAAAGTTTCGGATATAATTACGTGGGCCATCAGGTGAAAGAGTCTCTCCCAGATTAATCCAGCACAAATTAAAAGTTGGAGTGATCTTTTTTTTCTCTCCTTTCTTACTCCATGGTCATCATTTCAGCTGCAATATCTGCTCCTTTTTAAAGCCACCAGAGGATTAGGGTTGATTAAGCCAGGTTTTGGATTTGGGCTGGTTAAACCAGGTTTCGGATTTGGGTTGGTTAAACCAGGTTTCTCCCTGGCTGTTTCTAAAACTCAGGTGTTTGTGAGTGCTGGGAGGAGAGGGAGGTGTTCTCATTCCCTCTGGGAGAGATCCCCATGGGCCCCACACTGGGGTGGTTTGGCAGCAGCTCTGGCAGGAAGGCAGAGCCAGGGATGTGCTCAGGAAGGGCTGAATTCCACACCAACCCCTTCCCCAGGCCCTTGTCCCTGGGGGCTCCCTCTAAAAGCAGCTTAAAACCCCATTCTTTGCAGCCGGCCTGGAGCAGCCATAAAAAATTCATCCCTGCTTTAAGAGATTCCTGCTTTTCTGTCCTGCCCATTGTTAGACAAATTGAAGTGTGCACTCGGAAGGAGAGCGGTGCTGAACTGGGGATTTATTTACTCATTCGATTCTAATATTGAGAGAATCTGCTCTCCCCGTTCAAAGGGTAGAGCAACAATGCGAGTGACATCGGGTCAGCGGCACTTCAGAGCTACCTGCGAGATAGAATTGTTCTCCTGGCAGATAGGAAGTGACTGAAACCTCTTTTTCTCATCAATGTCTATTATGATTGATGGCTCTATGGTCACACTGAATATGCCCTTTTTAAATAATTCACAATGTCATCATAGTACTAGTTTATAACTGGCCTGTTATTTTTACCTTTGTTCATTCACTAACAGGAGATTCGAGAAATTAAGTACTGTGGGTTTGGGGAGCATTAGAACTGATTGAAACAGTCATTTTTCTTTCTGTTTTCTTTTCTTTTTTTTTTCTTTTTTTCTTTCAAGGCAAAGCCTCCCTGCACACGGCAGCAGAGATTTGTAAAAAGCCACAGGCTTCGGGTGTGATCATTCATTAAAAACCGGCTTAGCAAATCAATATATTCCTCTTGATGACATTAATTAGAATATAAAGAAATCCCCCAAATAAAGCAGGCACCTTCACCCCGCTCAGATGCGAGTTCATCTGTCACCCAGAGCACGGGCAGGGCGTGTTTCAGACATCACAAACGCACGCTGTAGGTTCAGGATGAGAACTCGTCCGTAATTGATGCCGAGCGTTATTCCTCGAGTGCGCTGGAAACAGTCCAAACAAAAATGGCTCCAGTTGGAGAGCTGAATTATTTTAGCAGCAGTTAATGGATGAAATATTTAATAATGTACTTTGCAAATCAGATTTTATTTGTTTAACTTTGAAAGTGGGGCTCGGTGAGTCATATTAGACAGTAGTCGAGTATTTATCGTCTCTCACTTGACTGTGGAAACGTGGCTCATAATTAATGGATGACAGGAATAATCATATCGATCCCTTTGCCAGGGCTCTGTAATTAGAAGGCTTTAAGCAATTTTTACGTTTCTTCAATTATTTTTTTTTTGTTAAACAAATTTAAGTAAATGTCTAATTCATTCAGAAATTGCAGTTCCCTCCTTCCCTGCCCTGTTATCCATAGGGTCTGTCCTGGCACCTTGTGCCTGTTTCAAACAATATCCTTGGACATCTCCAGCACATTCCTGAGCAGGAGAAAGGTCTCGAGAAGCTTTTCCTGTGGATACAGGAGCAAATGCCAAGGATGAAAATGCCCTTGGAAGAGGATGGGCCCCATCACTTCAGCAGGGCCAGTATTGCACCTGAAATCTGAATCCTCCCTGGCCCGCCCGGAGCGTTCCCATGGCAGATGGAATGGAAAGGCTGTGGATGCAGTGAGTACAGAAATAGTTCAGATCCATGGAGCTGCTTCCCTGCGTAAGTTTTCCCACCTCACACCTGCCCGTGGATCGGGACCTCTCCAGGGTGGATTTGGGGGAGCCTTGGGAGCACCAGTGTGGAAAGTGTCTCAGTCTTGATGATGGTTCCCAGAATGGATATATCTGGTAATTCCCATGGGTGCTGAGAGTGAGGCAGGATGTTTGCCTACAGGAGTTGGATTTTTTAACTCCAAAGTTACTACTGCCAAGTTTATATGTTAAAGTGGACTCTGGGAGAGTCAGTGTAACTTTATCAGAAAATATGGGATTGAGACAGCCCTTTTCACTGTCTCTTTGGCACAGTCATGGGCAGCCAGCTGGGAACAGCCAAAATAGGAGTTCATACGTGGGTTTATTCCCTGTTTTTCTCTGGATTTAGGCACTGTTCCTGGCAAAAAATCCCTGTGGATTCTGAGCAGCATCCCCGAGGATGCTGTGGAAGGGGCAGAGCATGGAAGGGGTTTACTTTGGAAGAAGCTGGAAATTAAATATCTGGTGATGCAGAGGATATATTTTGATCTTTGATTTGCTGTTCAAATCTATTCAAGATGTATGTCCAAAATATTTTAGTTTTTCTTAATTTTGGTGGGGTTTTCTGGTTTGTTTGTTGTTGTTGTGTCTTGGTTTCCTTTGGCTGTTTTTGTTGTGGTTTCAGATTGTTTTTTCTCTTTTATTTTTTTTTTCATTGATTGGTTGGGTTGATTTTTTATTTTGGTGGAGGCATTTTAGTGGGTTTTTTGTTCTGTTTTGGTTTGTTGGGTTATTTTTTTTTGTGTTGTTGTTGTTGGCCAGCTGCCTCTGCAGAGATTTGGGTTTCAGAGATCTTCCATGATACCTCACGGGAGCAGAGATGATGCTGCAGCCCTGCAACTCCCCCCAGGCCCCCGTGGTAGTAATTAATAAGAAGTCAAGTTCTGAACTAACTGCGACAAATTGGAAAGCTGGGAATTGGGAGATAAGAGTGGAGGGTCACAGTTTATTTGTAACTGGGTTATCGAATCATAATAAGCACTTAGAGCAAAAAGCATCATAAAAGAAAATAGGGAGGTACAAGAACCCTGCAGTAATTGGGTTTTCCCACACAAATAAGATCCATGTAGCAGAAGAATTTCCCTTTGAAGAGGCTGTTATGAATTTGGGGTCCCCGGTTTCCATTAGCCCCTCATAGTCACTGGCCCAGTGCAAGGCAGATAAAATGCATAAAACATCCCCAACATTTGATATCTTAATCCTATTTGCTTCTATTTCCCAACGTTCCCCAGTGTGACCAGAAGAAATCACAAAATTGCAAGAGGGATAATACAACATCCAGTTCCTTTCATGAAAATGCAGAAATTATAGGCCTTGTTCTTTTAAGTATTTTTCTATTTTTAAATGTTTGGCAATTGATTTAAAAAGTATTAAAGTTCCAGTTTTGTGCACCATAAACATAGGGAGTTAACTAGGAAAAGAAAAGCATTCATTTACAGATTTTAGTCTTTGGAGCTTTGGAATTTCTTCCTTGTATTCAGAGAGAAGGGAATTAAGGGATAAAAGCAGAATAAGCAAATAAAGAATATATAGGGAATATATAAAATATAAACAGTAAACAAAGGTAATAAAGAAAATATAAGTTTATATTCTGGGGGCATAAAAATGGAAGGTGAAATGTTGACTCTGTAGCACACAACTGTCACCAGATTTAAAATATTCCTGCGTTCTTGAGCAGAACACTTCTTGGACTTCGTTTAATTTTAGTTTTCACCAGGATTTAGAAGCTGAGCAGCACTGATAGATTTTTGTTCAGATGTGTTCACTGAGAACTATTTACAAGGTCACTTCCAGGGTGCTGGCTTGCTTGCTGGAAACGTCAGCGTAGCTGTGAGTGCCTGGGATCAGCACGAGCCTCTGGATGAGCTGCTGGGGAAGGACTGGGCAGGAGGAGCAGGCGGGACCTGCCGGGTCCCCTCTCCTGGCTCTTGGAGAAGCCTCATCCCAACACGCTGTGGGGCTGCTCTGGGCTCTGCAGAAGCCTTTCTGTGTCTGTCTCGCTGTGGAACTCATTGCTCAGGTGATCCTTGGTCCTCTCAGTCTCTGTGTGCCAACCCCAGGTGACAGCAGATGCCACCACAGCGTTTAGCCCTGACACAGCCTGACCCAGGAGTCCTCACCCACCTTTTCTGTGCTGCCTCAGCTCCACCATCTCCTGGTATTTTCACAGAATCCCAGAATCCCTGAGGTTGGAAAAGCCCTCCCAGCCCATGGATCCCCCTGTGCCCATCCCCACCCTGTCCCCAGCCCAGAGCACTGAGTGCCACGGCCAGGCCTGCCTTGGACACCTCCAGGGCTGGGCACTCCAAACCTCCCTGGGCAGCTGTGCCAGTGCCTGACCACCCTTTCCAGGAGAAATTCCTGCTGATGTCCCACCTGCCCCTCCCCTGGCACAGCTGGAGGCTGTTCCCTCTCCTCCTGTCCCTGTTCCCTGGGAGCAGAGCCCGACCCCCCCTTCCTCCTGTCAGGGAGTTGCAGAGGGTTTTAGATCTCTCCATGCTTTTCTTTAACAGCAGTGCAGGGTTGGTTTCTGTAGGGTTTGCTCTGCAGTTCTCCCTCTCACACCCTGCTCACATTCCACGGGCAGCAACACGGTCATGAAGATCCCAAATCCAGGGGCAGCCTCAGCTCCAGGCTGGTACCCAGTGAAACCAAGGGCCTTCCACTCCTGCCCTTCCCCAGTTTGAAGCCCAGGTTACCCTGGATCTGAGAGGGAGCACCATTTCCTGGGAATATCAGTCTTTCCAAGCGTCTCTTCTAATTAATTAGGTTTAATTCCCATCCCCGCATCATCTGCCTTAACAAACTATTTCTGGTGCTGCAGAGCTCTCGGGGCTCGGGATTTCTCGTGGAGGGTTGGTGAAATGAGAATTGGCTGAGAGGGGCTGCTTCCTGCAGTGGAAAACTGAGCTCCTCCATGGAGACAGAGCCCGTCTCTGGCTGGGAACTACAGACTGCGTGGGGTGAGTCACTGCTGCTTCACAGCTCGGGGGGAATTGGGCTGAGTGCTCACAAGTGTCAGGATTTTTCATGCTTTTTAAAAAAAAATAATTTAATTTATTTCATTTAATTTCATTTTATTTTAGTCCAGTAGGAAGGTGGAGATGCCCAAGCCATGCTGGATCAGGGCAAGAGGTGACACTTCCCAGCAGGAGCCAGCATTTCCTCCTGCTCCTGCCCCAGCCTCCCTGAACAAACACTCTTACAAAGGAGAGAAGCCTCCAGATGTGAGTCTGTTGTTCCTTGGAAGGTGCATTTTGGGTGAGGTGGTTGTGCAAGAAAAGAAGAAGCCCCTGTGTGGCTCTGGTGGCTCTGTTCAGTCTGAGGGCTGTGCCAACGCTGCAGATCCACCGGGATGGGAGAGGTTGTGGACAGTTTGGGGTGGGTGCTCACCATCCCTGTGGGGAGATACCCACATTATCCAGCATGCCCTAAGGAGGGATTTATCAGTGATAAAGAGCTCTGGCTAATGAAGTCTAAACAAACACCATCTTTCTAATAGAGTTTTTGTTTGACCAATGTGGCAGAAAATCTTTTCTGCCCACCCAAGTGGTGGGGATGCCTTTGGAATGGGAAACGCTGCCTCGTGGAGCAGACAGGTATGGACAGGGACGGCCTTGTCACCACCTCTCTGAGGGGTTTGACAGCTGGAAAAGGCCGTTTTCTTCTTCTTCTCTGAGGTGCCCCACCTGTGGTGGCATGGACAGAGCTCCTCCCGGCCTGGAGCTTCCTGGGCACCCAGCAGCAGGGAGCGGGCTGGTGGGCTGGGATGCTGGCTGGTGTCCGTGATCCTTCTGGCTTCCCATCCACCATCCGGTGGCAGAAAGGGCAAAACCCCCTCGTGCCTGAGAAATGCTCCCACTGCAGAGACTCGTTGTGCAAAACCGCTGTTAGGTGGGGCTGCGGCGCCTGAATCGCCGCCCTTCGTTTATGAAAATTATAATTATTTTGATTTTTGTCCACAGACAGCTTGAAATGTTGCAGAACTCTGCAGGTGCTCTCCGTTATAACAAAACCCCAGAACAGATGGTGCAAGGTACCAGGCCAGCTCAAGGGATTAAGGCAAGGCTTTTGAAATTTAAAATTAAAGCTGGGTGATCTTGGGGAAAATGTACCTGCCAAACAAGCTTGCTTAAAAAAAAAAAAAAAAAAAGTTCTCCAAGTTCTCCCTACAAGCTGATTTAAATTCAAATGAGACAAAAATTGGGCACTTTAAAAGTGCTTAAGAGAGGATTAAAAATCTGCGAGCAAGAAGAAAAGGGGATGGATATGAATTATTTGTTGTTGCGGGAGGATTTTTTTTTTGTTTGTTTGTTTGTTTTTTTGGTGGCCAAAAGCACGTTTTTTCCTCTTCGTTTTCTCGGTAGCGCTTCAGTGGCCGGTGGGGAAAGGCTCCGCTAACCTTTCCGTGCCATCGTGCGCTGCTCGGAGGGTGAGGGGGCAGTGAAGGCGCAGCCTCCCCCGGGGTGGGACAGGCGATGGGCAGGGACCGCTGCCGGGCTCCTCCGGGCACTGCACACGGGCTTTGCCCTCATCCAGGGTGTCGGCCTCGTCCGTAAATGCAGCGAGGAAAAGGCGGGGGGCTCCGGGTGTGACGCGGTCCCCCCTTCCCCGCAGACGGAGGTCGAGCTCCAGATGTCCCCTTTGTCTCGGCACCATTGTTTCCCAGCTCGGAGCAATTCCCATTCCTCACTGGCACGGGACGTTGTTTCCTGCGTCCGTTGTTGGTTTTTTTTTTTGGTTGTTGTGTTGGGGTTTTTTTGGGGGTTTTTTGTGCCTTTTTTTTTTTTTTTAAATCGCTCTTAATCGCGAGCCTAGTGGGGGCATTTTAGGCTCACAATGAGCAAAAAGCCTCCTGGGTGAAAAAGCCGCAATCTCCCCGGCTTTGATGGCCTTGTTGGCCAGAATTTGGGACTCCAGCAAACACTCTGCTCCAGCTCCATTTAAACCAGAAAGGGCTGGCAAATAACTGCGAGGCTGGCCGGTGTTTGCTAAAGCCTTTGTTAATGTGTTAGATAACCGGCTAATCACAACCTCGATATTCATATGCAAAATGTGCCTGGAGGACAATTTAATCATTTATTACAAGCACTTTATATATTTACTTTCCCGTGCTCATTACCCGGGGAGGTGCCCGCGGTGGGATGGGACACCGGGAGCCACCTGGAAAAGGGAAAAACTGCTCAAAGTTTCAGCCCACGCCGTGTTTTGGTGGGGATCTGGAAGTCGGTGTGATTAAAGTAATTGAAAGGCTCTCTCTTATTTTCCTTTCCCGTTCCTGTCTCGTCTTGTCACATTAAAGGTTTTTAAGGACTTTAATTAGGTGTGTTGGTTACGGAGCCGACAGAGAGCAACCCCTTCCACGCCCAGAGCCTTGATGGAAGATGATCACTGTGGCAGGTACAGCCTGCCAAGATGAACCGGTATAAATTAACTAGGAAAGGTTAAATTAGAGTAAAATGAGGATTGTAGACCAATCTAGGAAGCAAAGTTAATTCTGAGCCGGCGCCTCATTCTGGCCCCTGTTCTCAGCTGCAGATGGGTGGATGGCTCAGGATTAGGAAGCCTTTCCATGGGGATCACTGGTAACAGTTTCTTTAAAAATAAATTCTGGTGTGGAAGGATGAGTCAAGGCTGAGAACTATCTGGGAGGACAGTGCGAGTCCTGTACAAAATTTCATTTTTCAGGCAGCGTAGAAAAGTGTGTTTTTTAAGCTCTGTGTAGAAAGCAAAGGTAACAAACACTTGTGAGGGCTACTGTCAAATCTGGGCCTGCTGAATTTTGGGTATCCCCAGGGATGCTCTGGACCCTGCGGACTCCCCTGGGCTTATTCCAGCCCATCCATGTCTTCCTTGCGTGGCTCTTCCTGTCCCAGCACCTCTGTAGATCCTCTGCCACTGCTCCCCAGCCACCACAGGCAGCTGTTTTTCCCTTGGGATGTTGTCCCAGAGCATCCCAGCCCCAGGGACAGCCTTGGCCATGAGTCATCTCAGACATCCTGGCGTGGCAGCACCAGGTACTTTGGATGGACCCACTCGGTTGTGTTTTCAGTGGTCATGACTGAAAAAAATAGCAGTGTGATAACAATATATAAATGTTTTTTTTGTTAATTTGTATAATATTTAAATCATTATACAGTGCACAGGAAGACAGTATTACCTGTGGGTTGTTCTTGATCACTTTTTGGACTCTCCTGTAGTACTGTTGAACAACGCAAACAAACAGAGATTGATCCTATTCTTTATCTGAATTAAAAAAAGAATAATCATTGTTGTGTTTTCTCAGGATGTCTGTTTGCTTTGGTATTCAATTACAGGGTTCATTAAATCAAGGGCCCCATAGCTATATTTCATCTTTCCTTTGCTCTGTGATGCTGTGGGGTGTGTTACACAATGCATGAGGCAAAGGTGTGAGGCTGCCTCATTGCCTGCGCTTCAGAGCTATTATTTGCCACCTCAAATTGGTGGGAAGTTGCAGCATTCCCAAAACCGGAGCCTCACCCTTTGGCAGCCCATCTGCAGCCAGCACTGCACCGACGTGCGCTGCTTCCACACTCCGCTTTCCCGAGCTCTAATAGCCAGGAAAAATGTTTCTAATTTGTTTGACAGTCTTTAATCTGCCCCTTTGTTTGAGTGGTTGGTGCTGAAGTATTTTTTCAAGGACTTGGCGGTTGCTATAGATATTTTATTCCGTAACAAGGATTACATTGCGTGTAATCCCGCGGAAAGATACAGTAATTAATTTGAAAATTGCTAAGGAGTCGATAAGTATTTAAAACCTTAATTACGTCTAACCTTGTTTTCTCTTGCAGCTCGTCAGGCACAGCCTGGGGAGAGGGGGAGCCGCCTCGTGCCGTGTCAGCATCACCTTCCCAGAGCCCATGCCCAGCCCCTGGCGCCTCTACCACCGCCAGCCGGGGTGGGAAGGGCCCGGATCGGCCCCACGGAGCTCTCAGGCGCGGGGAAGTTGTTCTTTAAAGCTCTGGAGAAATGCAGTGCATTTATCAGCTCTGAGTGGATATCATTGTGTTTATAACAGAGTGGAGGCACCATGCAATTTTGCTCTTGAAATTGGTTTATATAGATGACTGGTTGCTGTGAAGTGTGTGTCAGAGTTGCATGCAGCCGTTATGAAGTAGTACAATTGTCATCGCTTCTTACATGGTTGTTGAGAAGAGCTTGAGAGCCCAGCTCAGTCAGCTGTTGAATAGATAACCCAACACAGTTAACGTGGCATACATTGTAAAGAATTACATGCCTGCTACAATGAGCTCTGGGCCTTTGGTCTAGATAATAATCCTGGTGGGTGTACCACGTGTAGAGCCTGTCTGATCGCTCAGATATGACTGACGAAACAGAAAGAAAAATGTCAGTCTGCGGGAAGAAAAATGCTGCTGTAAGTTTGTTTAAGGTTCACGCGGACGGCCGCGCCGCCCGGGTTAACCCCAGCCCTCCCAGAGGCTGTCAGGCTGCGTGTGCATCTCCCGGGCCCCCTCGGAGGTGGCACTGGGCTGTGTCAGCTGCCATGAGGGCTCTGGCCAGCCCTCCCCATCACGGTGGCCTTGTCTCCTCGGTTCCCAGGCAGCCCAGTCCCGGTGTCAGCTCACATTTGTGGCGCGGGAGCCTCGCGCCTCGCAAAAGGGTGAGGCGTTCGCGGCTTCTTAAGTGCCGTGGCACAACTCATCGCGGGCAGCGGGAGGGCAGCCGGGATAATCGAGCTGGCAATGTGGGCTGGGCCGCAGGAGCAGTAATTAATACTGCTGGCAAATTAAGGAGATGAGTGCAGAACTGGAGCTCAGCTGCCCGATGGGGGCTTGGCGTCAGGAGGATTGCAGTGTGGCCTTGGGGCACCGCAGAGCTGGAGGAGGCCGAGGCCAGGGCTGACGCTCTGCTTTGATGCAGCAGCACCCCTGGCCAGCTCACCTCACCTGGGGATGCTTTGCTCTGGTCTCTGGCACCTTGAACCCCTTGTGCTGCTCCGGCAGGGTGTGATGGAGCATCCACGTGAGAAGGGCAGGGCCAGGAGGGCTGGTGAGATGTTCATACCCATTGCCTGCCCGGTGCTGGAGGAGAAGGAGGGGTGAGCTCCTCCCAGACCTTGCACAAACAAAAGATTTTTAAATTCATCTTGTACTCCAAAATCGATATTTCCTTTATACTGCCTGATTTTTGTGCATGCATTTGGAGGCAGGACAGTTTTGCAGCAGTACAAGCTGCATGTGCTGAAAGTGCTGCTGGGATTCGTGACCGACTTGCACATGGTTCGAGCAGCCAGTCCAGACCTGACCCTGGCAGAGTGAGGGTAAGGACACCCCATGGTGACATCTGTCCCTCAGCCACCAGTGGGGACACCTGTCCATGAGAATCTGGGGGTCCGTCTGCCCATAAGACTCTGTCTCCACAGAGGCTGCTCTTTACCTCAGCACTGAAATACTGCTGGACCATCCTGACACTTGAAAACTGCAATTTGACAATTGAAAATTGATTTTCAGGTATTTTAACGTCATTTTCGAGGAGCGTTTTTTTTTTTTGCCTGAGGGACAGTAGGATGGAGTCGGCCAGAAAGATGGGATCCCTTGGAAAAGCCCAAGCAGGAACAGCTCATGTTTGGTGACAGGGCTTTCAGTCACTCCATTCAGGTGTGTTTTAAAGAGCACCTTTGCAGTGGTGGTGCTTGTGCCATGGCAAACTCGGGGCTGTTCCAGGGTTATTCCAGTAAGAGCTGCTCACACAGATCCCTGGAAACAGCTTTGCTTCATTTTGGGGTGTTTTTCACAGCAGTCAAATGCTGGTGCTTTATTTATGACACCAATAATACTTCTGTGCCACAACAGGACACTTTTATTGCTGGGTTTGAAGTATTTGCATTTTTATTTAAAAGTCTGAGCCAAGCAGCAATTGGAAAAAAAAAATCTCAACAGGAATAAATAAGAATTTGACAAAAATATGCACTGGGGGCCCCTAAAGAGCTGAGCAGGAGAGAAAGGACCTCAACCTTTCCATCCAGGGTGGCTTCAGGAGGGGAGGGTGGGCAGTGATAGCTATGTGGGTAACTGGGGTAGCCTCCCCCTCATCCACAGTGCTCAGCCCTGGAAATGGTTTCACAAATAATGGCTTATGACTGAGTTTTGCTATGACAAACACTGTTGTTTTTTCTTTGTGATAAAGTCTCTTGAAAGAAATCACCTTCCAGGAGCTATAGCTGAAAACACCCAGCAGTGAAGCTGCCAATCTGCCTTTTTTTTGGTAAAAG